CCTTGAAGTACGCGGACCGGATGGCCGAGAACCGAGAGGTTTACCTCGACGTGGTTCGGTTCCTTGCAGAGGAGGGCAATGAAGGAGATGAAGAAGTCGAGAAGAGGCTCGATGATGGGCTCGTGACGTGGTTCTGGGTGAAGAGTGAGGCGAATAGAAGGATCGGTTATCGAGAAGTGGTGGTGAAAAACGGGGAAGATACGATTGCAGCCATTCAGGGTATGAAGAGTAAAGAATCGTATAGCGTGTGGATTGTCGGGAGGAAGCACGGGGTGAATCCTGTGGTGGTGAAAGGGCTGTCGAGCTGGAGTGAAAACGATGAGCTTGGGGTGATCGGGGACTACTTAGCGTCGGTCGATTTCGAGAGTAATGGTTGGGTTTTGGTGGTGCAACAGCAGGTTTTGTTGGGTCAGGAGAAAGGTTCAAATGGTGTGTTATCATCAAGTTTTCCTTTTTGTGTGTAGAAGTGTAGCTAGTAAGGGAGTAGTTTGTATATAATGTGTGTGTTTTGAACTGAAGAAAAACAGATAGTATCATGTGTATGGTGGATGAGATGAGACTATCTTTTTTTGTGGCAGTGCTTTGATGCTTGTGGTTGAGTAGGAAAAGGGAGATGGGAAAGCAAAACAAGAACAAAATGAAATTGAGTGAAACAGATTTTGCTAATGGATATAATTTGCCTCATCCAGATGAAGAAAAAGGGAAATATATGGCTTGGTAAATAATATCTTTATTAAAAACATAACAACAATTTATTCTTATTTTGTGATTATGTTGGTGGCATTATAAAGAAAAAGTTAAATCAACTTGGATAGTATTTTTGGACAAAGTTTTTTTTTCTTCATTCACAACCTAAAAGGAAATAAATTTTCAAAAAAAGAAAAATTCGCCTCACATGAGTCACACATCAACATTCCAGACATGCTGCACGACTGCTTCATTATCATTAGTCATTAGTGTATTTAATTATGGATTGGAAACTAATTACAATATTATCTGAAGTTAGCCCAGAAAAAAAAAAAAAAAGAAAAAAGAAAAACAAGGAAATTCTGTCATCAACTTCCAAAAAAGATCAGAAGGGAGATTGGCAAAGTGGACAAGTTGACTTGTGAGAAGTTGAGAACCACTTATAGAGACAAGCTGAATGAAACTTATGCTTGCATGTCTTGCACGCGAGTCGTGGCAGGCTATGATTGGACGTGTGTATAACACTGTAACAGATGGGGCACTCCTCGACTCCTTCGAATTCCTTGTCGAAATTACTCTTCCATATTCTTATTGCCTCAGCTAAAGCTCCATTCTGTACATTCAAACACACGCTTTTAGCTTAATTAGTTTTCACATCACAATTTCTGTAAGTCAGGGCAAGCATGCAGATTCATAATGCTATTCTTAATTAAGAGTAAAATATGGGGACTTGAGAGCAAAAGTTCTTTTAAATGCGAAAAAAAAAAAAAAAAAAANATGATACGAAGAAACACATATACCTGACTCCGAACAAATGACATCAGCGACATCAACCATTTTCGACACTTGACTTCAGTAATGCCAAGGTTCCGTGTACAATCAATATCCACGGGCCTCAAAGGATAAGCTGGAGGAAGGCGGATTAATAGGTTCATTCCCGTTTCGTCCTTTGTGTATGTGGCCACAACCTCATTAGCTGATTTGCTGACACTAACGGAAAAATTGCCATCGGCAAAATTAGCCTTTCTAACCTGCATTAATAAAAATAAAAATAAATTTATTCAAGTTCGATAACCGAGCAACCAAAAAGAAAACGATGGTGGTAAAGTAGTTGCCCTAAACTTACAAATGTTAATTATGCATCCACGAGAAAATATTCCGTATAAGAGAACCGACGTAATGTTTTGAAAAATCGCACAATAATGAGAGGATGGTATTGAGTGTACTCTACTTGTAGAACACTATTGCCCCACTACACTAGCACTGTTATTATAAACGGCTTTTTATAAAATTATTTACTGGACTGTGTGCTTAATCACCAATGGCTTTGATCCTGCACGGGGAATAGTGTTTTGAGCTAATATATAATGATTATACAGGCGCATATCATAAGGTCTATTTGAGGTCACTATCCATTTCTGGAAAACAAATTTCTGACATGGCAAAGAGGCATAATATACTAGCCTGGATAAGGACAAAAGCTGATTTCACTGCAAATATCCATGATTGAAGATTCTGGACTACTATAAAAATAAACCGGCTAGGAGTGTTAACACAATTCAGTGCAACATAAAGGGACTAAGTGTATTCAATTAGTAATATATTTTATCAAGTAAAATAAATGGTGAATTAATGTGAACATCATATTTTCCAACAAGAATTCAACTAAGCCTATTCGATTTTTTTTNGTTTTTCCCAAGTTTACCTCAATTTAAATTGAAGTGTAGAGAAATAAACACACACAAACTCTGCCCATGTTCAAGCTTTCTCACACAAAAAGATAACGGAGATTGAAGGAAATGTCACAGAATTTTTTCAGATAATCATCATGCAAACCTGAGATAATTCATTTGATATCAATGTCGGGCTACACCATGCTTTTGTGAATGATTCAATGGCAGATGATGCCGAACGATCCCGGATATCACTAAACCACCCTCTGACATAGGCTGGAAGATTATGAAGCATCAAACCAAACGTTGCACCAGCAAGCGAAGCCATGCTCTCTGGACTAATTGGCCAAAGAGACTCTAACGAAAACAACACTGAACTTGTTGCGATAGCAAGCTTTGCAGAATCTGCTGCTTTTGACCCAACTTCAAGAAGTTCGATATCTTTCTTCCTTGAGCTGGCACCCATGTATAGCTCCAACGGGATGTGTTGAAAAACACAATCCAATATGGCCGAATTTGTAGAGTCTTGCACATACTGGATAAATCTCTCCCTTTCTGATGATGAAGGTGGCAAGGATGCTATATGCGACAGCAGTAAACACCAAGCGACCATTACATTGACCTGTAAATTTAAATAGCATGGATTGTAATCATCATAAACCATTGAGTAATTAATTATAGTGTCGATCGAGTCAAAATGCCGTGCAATAGAATGCTGTAACACATAAAAAGCTATTAATTACCCGGTCATGTGCCAATAAATCCATTTCGAGAACCTTATAAGATAATTTTTCTAGCTTGTAAGAAATTTCTTCCCACAAAGTAACATTTTCTTCTGGAGATGAATCAGGAGACTCCTGTTTATTAGAAGTACCAAGACTTTCGGGGTCGCGTGCAAAAGCTGATGGTGCAATAGGCTCAGTAGAAAGAAGAACAAAAGCTGCATACTGCAGAGGTGGAAGTGATTTGCAGGAAAACAACAAAGCATACAGCGAACTGATGGCTCCTTTACTTAGCCCCCAAATTTCAAATGATTTAACAGCCTTTCCTCTTGCTTGCGAAGTAGACTGAACAACACATGAACCGACCAACTCCCAGAACTGGCGGTGATTGGGCCGAGATGACGCAATAATAGACGAAGCCTCGTTGCAACATACACTTGCTATAGCTTCTGCAGCACCAGTGCAGAAAAACAAACGAAGTATGCCTTCGAAAATACGATCCATGGTGAACTCCCAGTTTTCATTCCTTAAAGGATTTATATTTTCAGTTAGTTCCTTCTCCTGCAATCGGTCGGGTGAACAAAAAAGAGAGATCCCAATAAGCGCGTTTTTGGCTAGTTCTATAGGAAAAGGATCATTCATTACAACCATATTCTGAAGCTCAACTAATGAAGCATTTGCATCATTAGAGCCAGCTGTCGCAGTGTTATTGACATGTTCAACAATTTCTTCCATCATTACAACTGCTATCTCGATCCACAATCTGAACTGATGCAAGATGAACTTCCAATCATTTTCATCAAAATAGTCCCAGCAGTAAGCTACTGAAATCACCATTAACTGTGACAAAAGCCTCTGCACCACTGGTAGCTTATTTATCACAGCTGATGAAGCCTGCCTCTGCTTCTGAAACAACTCATACAGTGCTTCTCTCTCTGTAGACAAGACATCTCTCTGTGATCTTATCCCTTGCACCTTTTGGGTTGATAAGGGAAAGCAGGATATAACCAACTGAAGCCAGTGCTCCATATCTGCAAGTAATAAATTTCTTGTCATCATGGAAATGATAGAAAATGATTTTAATGATTTTAATAAGTATGGAAAATATTGTGAACACTGTATTGACCAGGTATGGCCTTTAAATTTCAAGAAAACCCCAAACATTGAGATAAAATGGCGTAAACAACTCATTATTGTTATGGCTACTACCACACTACTATAAATAGATAAAATTGAAATGACTACATCCGAATGTGACTTACCTTCTCCATCCTGCCATGCATTAAGTGGAGGAAAAGATACAATTTTTTTTAGCCAGTCTACTGTTATGCTATGCAATTCACTTCCACTGTCAGGATCAGGCTCATCATCCATACAATCTTTAAATTGAGTGCTCAAGGGTCTTACAAGAATGCTCATGATCGCTGGAAGAATCCTCAAACAATTTACGTTCGCAATATCACCAATATAAAGTTTGTTGAGAAGTAATTTGAAGAGTGATTGAGCCTTTTTGTATCCCCAAACATTATCTTGGAAGAAGATATTGAGTAAAGATACAAGACCTCTCAAAAATGGTTCTTCAATAGCCTCTAACTCCTCCATTGAACTATTGCATAAAAGATTTAATCCACTAGCAGATCCGTGGATAAGAGCACCATCAACCAAAATATTCAGAATGGAATCGGCAAGACCAAAATCCCCACCTTTTGTATAACTAACCAAAGTAGGTAAAAAAGTGTGCAGAACACTGCCACCAAGCCATTTCCATGTGCATAAAATTTCACCGGCAAGCCAAGGCCGAGCATAATTAAATCTGGCAATCGAGTTTGTAATAGGATCTTTAGATGAAGGTGATGTCTCCAAAACACCACCAGCAATAACTCTATCAAATCCAACTTTGGAAATTAGTTTGTCCACCACAGCAATGAACTTCGTGTTTTTAGGTACCTACAGAATATCATAGCAATTATCATCTTCTATATCTCGCATACCACAAAGATATTTGGAAAACATACAAGGCATAGTGATTCTTGAATAAATAAGTGAGCAAGAAGTTGGTTCGAATTAGTTCAGCTTTTTGACCCAGAAGATACGAGATCGTAATATTTAGATAGTTCATTTTTGTATCCTACAGTTAAGTTGGCTTAAAATGTCAGGAAAGAATTATCANGAGAAACACACAACAAATAGAACTCACATTGGCAGAAAGGTTATCCATTTTTAATCTGGCTCCTTCATGGTCAGGCATGATCCACGAAGGCCACACGTCATTCTTACTGAGAAATTGCTCCATCAGCTCTTGTTCCTCAACTTGGTCTTGACAGAAAAGTTCAAAAATATGAAGTGACCACTGGCAGCAGGAAGATATGAAATTCTCTGAAT